TCTTTCTGCTTTCTACCTCTCTTCTCTTCTCTCCCCTCCCCTTGCCATACCCAACCCCCACCCAAAACCTAATCCTCCATGGACTTAGTCAACACACCCTAACCATCCACCACTAAAAATAAAAATAAAAAAAATTCTCCTTGATAGCCACTCCCCATCTTCTCTCTTGCAAAGAGAGGTGGGGTGCGATGGAGGTTATAGAAGAGAGATGCAGGGAGAGGGGAGGGGTTGGGATGCCATGGAGGTGCGTTAGGGGTTGGGTTTGAGAAGGGGACGGGAGAGAAGAGAAAGGTATAGAGAAAAGAGAAGAGAGAAGAGGGAGGAGGGGATTGGGGTGGGGTGCGATGGAGGTTGGGTTCAGGATGGAAGAGAAGAGAGGGGCATAGGGACAGAGGGAGAGAGAAGAGAGAATATAAGGAACTAAAATTACTAGATTGACCATGCCACGTCTACACACTTAACGGTTTTGTGGATGGAAATGGACAGAAGTGGTAAAGTGAGAAAATTTTAATTCAAGGGGGGCAAAGTGAGACCGAGTGTCTGTTTCAAGAGGTGAAACAATAAATATTGTGCTTCTCAATATTGGAAGATGTACTAAGTTTGAAGGAATTCATATCCGATTAGCTGTTATTGAGTTTAGTCCACACGTTTTTTGTTTTAGATGTAGGTCCTTTGACTTTATTTACTTTTTTGTTGTGTCGATTCTACCCTTTGAGATAAATAAGAAAAACATATTGAAAATCTAAATTTAATGCATTATTTCCTTGTAATTGAATTTTGAATTCTTTCGTTGATAATATTTACCTAATATATATCATTTAATCAATGAAAGTAAGACCCACATATTATACCTATGCAATGGACAATAGGACAATATACCTATACCATAGGATAATATATCTACATCATAGGCTGAACAAATCACAAAACATCTTACCTATAAGTAAGGTGGAAAAATAGACAAGCAGAATATTAAATTACCTATAAATTAGGTGCATAAAAACATAAGTCGGACAATATATGCTACCTATATCTCAGGTACATAAAAAAGATAAGTGGTAACGTGTATGTTACCTATAACTTAGATCCATAAACAAAAAGGCAAAGAAGTGTGGTACCTATATCTCATGTATGTAAAAACACAAGTCAATTAATAACTTCTTTTCTTGTTAAGGGAGTATGTTACCTATAATTTATATATATATATATATGAAGAAAAATATATTAAAAAATGTATTACCTATAACTCAGGTATACTATACATAAAAGAACAACTATAAAGAATAAAATGACTGAACATGATTCAAAGTTAAGCATCTATTCAACATAAAATAATAATAATAATAATAATAATAATAATAAAAGAAGAAGAAGAAGAAGAAGAAGTCGATACCATGACAACATAGCAAATGGATATGACTAATGCTTCAGTGGGTCATTTGTGCCTTGAGATGAACCCCAAGTCTGTCTAAATCTCCATTATTTCCTCATCTATTTTAACGAGTGTTTGGCTTCCTTTGAGCACTAAACTCACTCGATTATTTCTTTCTTATGTCAATGTACAACATTTAAATAAAATTTTTTAAAAAAAAGTCTTCCCAATTAGGTGCTTTACTTACCATAAATTTAGTCATTTATTATAAAACCATCTTAAATTTTGCTACAATTAATAACTTCATTATTCCTTCGTTTTATGTGCTCAAGGGTAAACTGGGTAAGGAAAGAAATATAATATTAGCTAATTATCTCATTAAGGTAAGTAATCTAAGATAATGGGCAGTATTGGAACAAAAAATGATTTTAAAAATATAAAAATAAAAAGATTACATCAGACAATATTAAACAAGGAATGTAATCCTATGTGGTACAAAAATCAAAGAACTTGGATCAAAGTCACCAAATTCGAGGATTAAACTCAACTCCCTAAGTCTGATATAAATTCCCATAATAAACTCTAAACCCAAACTTAACCCTTAAACCCATAAAAGATGTCATTGCACAGAACCACGACATAAACATGATGAGTAGAGTGCCCAAATTCAATTTATGTAAACAATATTTGTTGGAGAATTAATTGTGAAACTTTTTTTTTTTTTTTTTACAAGCGATAATCTATTTTAAATTAATCTAAACTACTGGGAGGAGGACTCAAACTTGAGTGGAGAGGGGGAACACATCTACTCCGGCCAACTTGCCTAAGCCCATATATTCAGTAATTGTGAAACTTTTAAGAGATGCATTTGAGATGTATTTATACATTACAAATTGTAGGTGAACCTCGCTACACAAGAGGTGTTTAATCAACTGCCAACTAGAACTAGTATCACATTTATGCAAAAGGTTGATGATCAAGTCCATGAATACATCATATCCATTCCACGGATGAACTCATGTAGGGTTTCAACTTAAAACGAATATAAATAGATGGAACGAAAATAACAATTATTTAAATTATTTAACCACAGGAAATTAATTGATCTGACCATACATTGTTGAGTGATTATTGTCCTAATAGTTTGATTATTGCTTTTTGTTCTCTTTTTTTTATTTGCCAAATAATAGTTTGATTTCCTTATTAACGATATAAGGAAATCAATGAAAACAATGAAACTTGATTTGGACCGATTCATTGGGGAAGACGGTGGCTGGGGGGTTTATGGTAGTGGCAGTGCACTTTTTATTTAAATAGTTTATTTATCTAATAAATATTTTATTTGAATTTTCCAATTTGCCCTTAATTTTAACAGAAAAACTAATAGAATTGACAGAAAGGACGAGTGGTGCAAAGCGATATCTAATTGAAGGACGACCATAATAATTTTTGGGGTTGAGGAACAAAAAGTAAAGTGAGGTCTTATTTGAGGGATCATTGCTATAATTTTGCCTTTTTCTTAAGTTTGAGGAAGCAGGATCACATTGTGTGTACCAGAAGTAAAGCAATTTATCCTAATTACATCATAATAAGACACCTACACAAAATAAGGAAAGAAATCATCTAGATCTGGGTTTGTGTCTTCTTGATGAGGCTCCTGATTAACTTGGCTCTGTGTTGATAGATGACCTGCTGGGGTTGTCTAAACCTCGTATGATTAGTGTTGTTTAGTTCTTTGGTTGTTAGGGGTTCTTCCCCCCCTCCCTTCACCAAAAAAAGAAAGAAAGAAATCATAATGAAATACAACGAAGGAAATGTTAAACTCATTAGCCATTTCAATTATTTTTTATCAAATCTTTTTAACCTATTTGGCTAGTTATGATTGCTACTAAAAAACCTTCTTGATGGATGTAGCCGTAAAAATTTGTTTTGATCTTTAGAGGGGAGTTTTTTTAAAATTTTTTATTTTGTTTCATGGAAAAAGGTTATCTATCCGAGGAAAAAAAAAGAATATTTTAATGCTCATAAGTTGAATACAAGGGCAAGCTTAAAAAATGTATTGCCTTTGATTAGCTATTAAGTTTAATGATACTATGCTTCTCAATGTTGGAAGATGTACTAAGTTTGAAGGAATTCAGATCCTCTGTTATAATTTGCTTAACTTCTTTCCTCCATATGATATCTCATTAAAATATAATCTAAAAAATTCAAGTTATACACATCATTTTTAAAATAAAACCTCAACTTGAAATTGGTAATTGATTAAAGGGATTCAATTTAATAATGTTAAAACGAACGAAGGGAGATCAATGTGCTACCATCTCGGCATATTGGTAGTTTATTAAAAAGATTCAATTCAATTGTGAAGACTGACATCTCAGCTGTTGCTATTCAATTGTGAAGACTGACATCTCATTCTAATATAAATTCGCATAATAAACTCTAAACCGAAACTTAACCTGTGTCATTGCACATAACCACCACATAAACATAATGAATAGAGTGCCCAAATTCAATTTATGTATAAGCAATATTTGTTGGAGAATTAATTGTGAATTTTTTTTATATTTAATACAAGCGATAATCTACTTTAAATTAATCTAAATTATGAGGAGGGGGATTCGAACTTGAGTGCAAATGAGGAACACATCCGCTTCAGCCAACTTGACTAAGTCCATGTATGCATTAATTGTGAAACTTTTAAGAGATGCATTTGAGATGTATTTATACATTAAAAATTGTAGGTGAACTCGGTACTTAGAGGTGTTTAATCAACTACCAACTAGAACTCTAGAACTAGTATCACATTTATGCAAAAGGTTGATGATCAAGTCCATGAATACATCAGATCCATTCCATAGATGAACTCATGTAGGGTTTCAACTTAAAACGAATATTAATAGATGGAACGAAAATAACAATTATTTAAATTATTTAACCACAGGAAATTAATTGATCTGACCATACATTAGGTATAATTGTTGAGTGAGTATTATCCTAATAGTTTGATTATTGCTTTTTGTTCTCCTTTTTTTTTTTTTCTATTTTTTGTTGTTGCCAAATAATAGTTTGATTTCCAGGGAAGGTGATTGAGAACTGATTAAGTTGATCCGTAAGCCAATCCTTGCCCATAAATGCCTTTTTTTTTTGGCACCAGCTGGTCTATAAAGTTCAAGTGCATGCCTAAAAACTTCATTCATGTTAATGGTAATTTTAAATTCTTTTTTTTTTTAATCAACAAAAAATAAGATATTCGAACTTGAAACATCAGTGAGCCAAGAGTACAATAAGTCGGTAATTTCAAACTTTTATAATGCCTTGGGATGCATGTACTCATTGGTCAAGAATTTTCGAGCATATCCCTATTGAAAGAATTTTCTGTTTTTTTTTTTTTTTTTTTGGGTCTGAGAAAGAATTTTCTGTTTATGATAGAAAACCCTTTCTCTTGTAGGCTCATCACATCAAAGGAAGTTGATGTTGAAAAATGAAAACATTTGGTAAACACACAATTTGGTAATGGACCCATTTCCCACGTCGCCAGAAACATGGCCTACCTGTTTGAAGACAGCAGCAGAATAATTTTACTCCCTCAACTACTTCCATACACCGAGGCCGGCTTTAGCTTTTATCTCCCTCTAAAACTCAAACACACCAAACATCTCTCAACCAACGAGACTTGGTCTTTCAATTCACTCTTGCCCTCCTCTTGTCCAAATCAAATCATCACTGACATTTTCCATCTTCTCCAAAGTTTGCATCTGCAACTTCCCATTAAACCCAGAATTGGATCTTCCTCTACCTAACCTTTTAGGACCACATATATCCATTATTTTTGTGTGTGGTAGATTTGAATTTCCTATTTATTCTACAATTCTAACCCTGTTTCTTGTCATTTCCTATGTGGGATGTGGAGATTTTTTTAAATGCCTAGAGTCTTTGTTAAGTTTGAAGTTTTTTGGAATCTAGACTAGTCCATGTTTTTACATCAAAAGTGACATGTTTTGTTGGTTTCTGCTAAATCTGATATATGTGGTCCGAGTGTGATTTTCTGGCTTTCTTGAGATTAAAGTCTTAACAAGGAGAATGGGAGTTGAGCTTTGTTCAGATAACTCTAGCATGGGTGTGAGCCCAAGGATTTCATTCTCTTATGATCTTTGCCAATCTGATGTTGGGGCTGTGGAACAACAACAGCACCACCATCCTCCTCTCAGATCCAATTCATTATCATCCTCATCAAGAAGCATGAATTCAAGCATGGAGTTTGATTTCTGCGTCGTCCACGAGAGCTTCGAGCAGGAGTCCTCCTCCGCAGATGAGCTTTTCTCTGATGGGAAAATGATTCCAAGTGAGATCAAGAAAAAGTCTGCTCACCCAAAACAGCTGGATCAAAATATTGTGCCTCATCAACATCCTCCACTGCCAACAGCAGCAGCAGCTGATCCAAGTGACGAAAACACAAGTAGGGCGAAAGAGAGAGGTAAAGAAAGCAAGAACATGAGCTGCAATGAAGCTGATGAGAAGCAGAGTTCCAAGTCTTTTTGGGGGTTCAAGAGAAGCAGCAGTTGTGGTAGTGGTTATGGCAGAAGCTTATGTCCTTTGCCACTTTTATCAAGAAGCAATTCAACTGGTTCTTCATCATCATCAAGTGTAAAGAGATCAGTATTTTCCAAAGAGGGTCAAAATCAGAAGCAGACTTCACAGCAGAAATCTGCATCCAAGAAACTCCACTCATCATCACAATCTTCTTCAACTTCAATGAATTATCAAAAGCCTCCATTGAAGAAGGGCCAATATGGATCATATGGCAATGCTGCTCCATTTAATCCTGTGTTAAATGTTCCTACAGCTAACCTATTTGGTTTTGGATTAATCTTTTCAAATGGAAAAGATAAGACCAACAAGAAGAAGTGATGATATGTGTATTGGCATTCAATGATCAGTTCATCTTATATGGGAAAATAAAGTTTTTTTTATTTTATTTTCTACATTTAACTTGTTGAACTTTAAGTGATTGTAAATTAAGAGTAAAGGGCTTTGAAGAAAGAAGACAAGGAGATAAAAAGATGCATCAATTCAAGGGAGGACAAAGGCATACGTATGATTCTAGCCACATGCTTTGGAAGGGCTAAAAGACAAGGTAACCATAGTTTTTCTTGGTGTCATCCCACATGGTGTTTTCCCTTTTTCTGCATTATTTGGTCTTTGTTCACACATTTGGTTATATGCTGTGGTCTGGTTTTTGTATTTTCTTTTGTATTTTCCTGCTTGCTCTGTTATAGCAAGAGAGAGGTCTGATCTTTTGACTTTGAAGAGCTTTTGGCATGTTCTTTGAACTTGGTTTGGAATTTTATTTGTTTTAGCTGGTTGTTAATTTTGATTAATTTTGACTCTCATGGATTTTACAATATTTTTTGGGTACACACAACTAGATGTAGTACATGATTGCTTTTATGTTCATTTGTGCATTATTTTAGTCCCCTTTGTCGCAACGAGTCAATACCCAAATTCAACCTAATTTATCCTTGTAATGATGAACATAACTAACAAAACTGTTACAGTAAGGCAATGACGGAGCTACGATTGGAACATCTGCCACATTTTTTTATCTATGTTTCTCATCAGGTATATGTACAACTGTGATACGTAACATATTTTATATCTATCAACGGGGTCTAGTCCAGTAAAAAGGATCTTGATTTGTAAACTAGTGGTCACAAATTTGAACCCTCATAATACTTTAGTAGTGTGTGTGAGAAACCCCCTCCCTCCCTATTGTAGTTTAAACTATTGCTTATATTAAAAATTTTAAAAATAAAAAAAAAAATTTCTCTCATACCTAAGATCTATCAGGAGCATCTTGCCCCACTAATTTTTATTTTTATTTTTCTGGTTTTGAGAAAAGATGAACTTATTAATACTCATCAAAGTAATGACAGAGTTAGTATGTAAAAGTGTGACCTCGTTAAAATCTTGCCTGAGAAAATCATGTGGGACAGAGTTAGCATGTAAAGTAATGACATAGTCTTGCCCCACTAAATTTATTTTAAAGAAAAAATTGCAGGTTCAACTGTACATGAGCTACTATACAACTACGTTTTTATCCATAGACCTTCTTCTTCTTTTTTTTTTTTTAATAAAAAAGGAATAACTTCGCTCATCACTGTCACCAAACAAACGAGAAAAGTTCACAAATGAACGGAGGGCATAAATGTGGCCTTATTAAAATCTTGCCATAAAAAACCCTCAATGGAGGAAAATCCGGTCAAAGAAAAAGAGTACCATTGCACTTCAATGCGGACAAAATTTTATGCCGTAGTTCTATCCTTATCTAACAGAATGCTTAGCCATGGGGGAGCACGGTCTTTCCAGAAAAGTCGTGATCTCGCTCTCAGTTCATGTTGGGCGAGGCCATGCGCCACCCCATTGCCTTTTTGATGTTGATAAAACACTCCAACCACATCTCGATCAACCATTAACCGATGAACATCCTCCACCACATTTCCAATATTACTCCATCAATCCATACCATCTTTGAGTATAGCAACAACTTCTTGAGAATCAAGGCCAATGGTAAACTGTGTAAAGCCCATGTATCCCACCATCAATAAACCTTCCCGGACAGCCGCCAACTTAGTGCCCAAAACATCCAAATCAGGTGGATCGCTGTAAGCAAAACCAGAGATAAAGTTGCCGTCATGATCACAATAGCAGCCCCTCAGACCTCAACCACTTCCCTCATGACCCAAAGCCCCATCATAGTTAAAGAATAAAAGTATTTACCTATGGTTTCAACCAATGGACCTAGACCGCTTCTCACAAGATTTGAACACCGCCAACATCTCCAACGTGCTTTCCACCATATCCTCCAACCGTGTAATCTGTTTCCCATGCAAAGAATCGTTACGTAGTTTCCACACACAACAAGCAAACCGCTCCAACTCAGCTTTTGACAACACTGTAGCCACAACCTAAAAAAATCAGCAAAAGTGCCAACCGCCACATTAATTCATCGGATAAAATAGGTATACTTCCAAAAATTCTGACTCATTTTACAAGACCACAGAGCATGGTAGGCATCTTCAGGATATTTCCCACACCTTGAGCACACCTGAGATGTAAGCACCCTTCTCTTAAATTTAAATAAATTGACTGCAGTTGGTAGAATTTTAGAACTTGCCCTCCAAATAAGCATTTTAATTTTATTAGGGACTGCAAGCTTTCAAATTCGAATCCAAAAACCTTCTTGAGCACCCTGATATGATCCCCTCACTCCAAAATCCTCATCGCACTGCCTCACCACCACACGGTACCCAGTGTTCGTTGAATATTTCCCATTCTTTGAGAAAAACTAGTATTTGCTAGGGGGTTTCACTAAAACACCCAAAATGGGGGTTGAAATTATAAAAAAACCCAACACCCAAAACACTTTATAAACACACCCAAAACCCATCGTTACACACACTCAAAACCCATTTATAAACACACCCAAAAAATATACAATTGTTGATTTTGGGGTTGATTTTGGGTGTGTTTCTATGTTTAAATAGTGTTAGGGTTTTTTTATAAATACATGTCTAGGATTGGGTTTATTTATAAATTTGTATATTTGCTATCCCCCAGTTGTGAGACTAATCCCAGGGCAATACTGGAAATGATATATTTATCTTCCAAGCTAAAATGTTGCTCTAGCAGTGTCAAATTACATGTGCCTAAAGCAGTTAGGAGGTCAGAGACTGTAGTTCCAGCCCTCTAGCCATCAACGGCTTGAAAGTAAATGGTTTTGGAATCCACCTATCTTGGAAAACACTGATAAAAGTTCCATTGCCCATCCTCCAAATCAGACCATCCTCAATAACCTCACGCCCCCACAAAATAGATTTCCATATCATTGACGGTGAGCTTCCCAAACTAGCCTGCATAAAATCACCCTACGAAAAATATTAGGCTTTAAGAATCTTTGCCACTAGAGAGGTGGGTTTTTCTAAGATACGCCAAGCCTGTTTTGCTGCCATGGCTTTATTAAAAGCTTCAAAGTTTCTAAAGCCAAGGCCTCCCAAACATTTTGGTTTATACAATTTCCTCCAACCCAACCAATGAATTCCTCGACTGCCACTCTTCCCCCACCAGTACCTTGCAATCATAGTAGACAATTCCTGGCACAAGGATTGTGGCAATTTAAATACTCCCATTGTATAAGTAGGCAGTGCTTGGCCAATCGCCTTAATTAAGACTTCCTTGCCCGCCGTGGACAACAACTTCGTATCCTAGGTATTGAGCTTTCACCACACTTGTTCTCGCACATGATTAAACATCCGGGATTTACTATGTTGAGCTAAGATAGGCAGACCAAAGTAGCATTCATGACATGCAACAATCCGCACTCTAAGCATTTCAGATATCAGTTGCTTCATAACTGGATCAATGTTGGGGCTAAAGCATGGTGCAGACTTGTCAAAATTAATTTTATGACCAGATGCTCTTTTATACACATTGAGAATCTAAAGGAAATGAGCACAATCAGCTAAATGGGCATTACAAAAAAAGAGACTATCATCTACAAAAAATAAATAGGAAATAGTGGGTGCTCCTTAAGCCACAGAAATGCAGCTGATATGCTTGATTCTGAAGGCATTAGAAAGCAAAGTAGATAGTCCCTCCACACATATTAAGGACATATATGGAGAAAGCGGATCTTTCTAGTGCAGCCCCCTCAATGGCACAATCATTCCCGAAGCTACCCCCAAAACTTGGACATAGTATGTAACAGTGGATATACAATCCATGATAAACTCCACCCATTTGTCATTAAAGCCCAAACGCTTAAGCATGGCCTCAATAAAGGTTCATTCCACTCTGTCATAACCTTTAGACATATCAAGCTTTAGCACCATTTTCTTCAACTTACTCCCACCATGCCTTTTAATAGCATGTATGCTTTCAAAAGCAGCAATAATGTTATTCGTAATCAACCATGTAGGGACAAATGCACTCTGAAACTTGGAGATGATAAGAGGCATAATAGGCTTCAACCTGTTAACTATAGTCTTGAAAATCATCTTATAAATCACCGTATACAAACTAATCGGCCGAAACTCAGTAACTTTTGTTGGTTTGTCTACCTTAGGAATAAGAGTCAGAATTGTGTGATTAATTTCTTTTACACTAGCACCCCCATTCCATACATTAAGGTAGAAACCTACCACGTCATCACCTACCACCACCCCCCAATACTTCTGATAAAACAATGTCGACATACCATCCACTCCTGGAGACTTAGTAGGGAACATTTTTCCCAAAGCAGTTTTGATTTCTTCCCGTAAGAAAACTTGATTGAGGCGTAAATTCTGAGATTGAGCGAGTATCGGCTTAACCACCTCAGTGATTGTCCCAGACTCAAGTAGTCCATTAGAAGCAAACAAGTCTTAAAAATAATCACAGAAAATAATGCCAATACTTTCATTAGATGTAGGCCAAATCCCCTGGTAATCTACAATAGCCTTAATCAGATTCTGTCATCCTCGCATTTTTGCAGGTTCATGGAAAAATCTAATGTTTTTGTCTCTGTACTTCATCCATGAGACCCGCGATCTCTACCTCCATGATAAGTCCATAAATATACTCATTTATGTACTCTTTTTACTTAGGTTTTGTAGGAGAATTAGATTTAAAAAGGGCTTATTACTTTACTTTTCTGATTTTCAGCTTTTCTGCGCTCTTAGAAGCTTTTTAAGGAAAAATCAACTTTTCGGAGGAATTTTAGAGCAAGGCCAATTGGAGATGAAAGCTAACATCTTGAAGTTCAATCTGTGATTTTTCTAGAATTTTCTACAAAGCCAATTGGTACAGTATTACAAGTAAAGTTAGCCCACGTGCAGACAAGACAGTTTCATACATGTTACGTGAATGTGAAGAAACGGAAGCCTTCCCGAATTTTCCAAGTTACGTGCTATATATGGTTGGAAAGATAAGACATTTATCTTTCTAAAATATATTTTTAATGATTTTTCTGCAAGGCTGAAGATCCCCAAATCGTGTGACAATTGGGCTGAGCTGTATTTCCCTGTGGAGTTAGGAATTGTGATTTTTACTTTCCTATTTGGATTCCTTGTTTACCAAGACTTCTTGGACGACTTGTCAGTCAATTTTAGGGTTTTAGAACTCTGATATAAGTGATATAAAAGGCCAGCCAAGGCCCCGGATACAGATTCACGTCCAAAAGGGATCAACCGCGTAAGAGGAGAAAGCTGCCAACGAGTTCTTTCTTTTCCTTTCTTCTTTTAAGTTTCAGTTCTTATGTATTTATTTTTG